GCGCTGTTTCCCAGAATTAACTGTAGGCTTTTAGCCAATGAGAAGACAGATGGTGACTACAATGTATAGTAATTTCAGTTATTCCGCTTCTGCTTGCGACTTCGACGACCTAGTTTTCACTTGATCGTAAACGAGTAACTCTTTAGCGGGAGATCAGAACGCTCTTTTTATTGGATCGTTAAGTCCTACGGTTCTGATTACGACTTTGACTCTGTCGCTAGTGAAAGCCAGCCATAAGAGAATGGATGAAAACTCTCCCTCATTGGGTGAAATCGAAAAGAAAAATATATTTAGATGGTAATGAGAATCGGTGAAAGGTTTGAACCCTGGAGTCATTTCAAAAGTAGGTCGAGTTTGATCGTCCGGGTGAACGTAGTCCTGAATAGGACTGTTGTTGACGGTGACTGACGGTTCGAGCACCTGTGCGGTAGTCATCTTCAGAGTCAAAGTGGGTTGTATCACGTGAGTTGACGGTATTATACTCTGTTTATTGATCTGATTGGTCAATTACGTCGCGATGTTATGGGTCGTCTGTCAGTTAAGCTGTGTTGTTATTGGCTATGAAGAATCGTAATCAGTAATTGGTGAGTTTCAATCCGTCTATTGTCACAGTTAAACAGTCGTCTATTATTAGTCAAATTGACACTTCTCCAGTCGTTCTCTCGTAGTTAGTTTTGCTTGATCTCGTCAATAGAGGATGTTAGCATCGACAACGAGTACGAGTTCTAGAACGAGATTAGCGATTTTGCGTACTGCGCATCCGTTCTGTGCATCTCCACGTTTCCAAGTCGTCCTGTCAAGTTGCACTACGACGTGTTCTCACCAAAAACTCGAAGTGGATAGAACGACTGGGAAGAGCTGGTTTTCAAAGGTAAATTCCGATCGTTTAATGCAGTTTCTTTTCGTTTATAGCCTCTCTTTATCATCTTGAACATTCCTTATATTATGTTTTATGTAAAATACTGCTTTTGAAGTCGAGAAAAAGCAACCGAAAGCGATATTTCTTACACAGAGTAAATCTGCATTTACCCGGGAAAGTTTCATGTCTCTCCACAGGCCTCACAGGCTCACGAAATAACCCCTACCTCGACTCAAATTTGGCGCCCAGTGATGCGGAATCCCATAATTTTATTTTCTATAAACTCGAACTAGGTGTCATCGCTAACATAGAAAGCTGAGAAAACGCCTTCGAGTACGAGTACGGCTTGAAGTCGTTCTCGTACTCGTACTCGTTGTTGATGCTAACATCCTCTAATAAGTCGTTTGTACGGCGCTGGTAACTGTTGGCTACGATTCAGTGACGTTTGTTCTAAGTTAGTGAACCAGCTTTCTAAAGTAAGACGTTGATAGTAATCCGTAGAATACGTTATACATGTCGCAGAGTCCCAGTCAATTTGATGTTTCGTCTGTAAATGGTGGTAAGCAATGTGATTGTTGACGTCCCCATATACCAGAACCTATTCCATCTCTTTTCGTTGGTGAAAAGAAAAGTTTTTACTGCTTAGTTGAAGGACGGCTCCCACTAACAGTCAGGTGGCTGAAGAACAACACGATTATCAACGAGACAAAAAGTCAAAGAGACAGTCAAGTAAACCTCACTCTTGATTTTCGTGAATTGGACTTGCATCACACTGGGAAGTATACTTGCGAGGCTAGAAACGACTATCACCCAACCATCAGACGCACTATCCTCGTCAGCGTTTCATGTAAGCATTTATTGTTAACAAGGTTGTTTTCGCACCCATCTCCGTTTGCTTTAAAAAGGTCGTAACTTGACATCGAATGACCTTTTAATTGACAACAACAAAAAAGGGAAAAAAGGGGGCATACAAGAAATCTATCAAGCGAAAAATTTCTTAAAGAAACGGAACGTCTGAAATTTAATCCTCTTTTCCTGGTAGGGATTTTTTTTCCAAACGGAAATTCCAGATTCCAACCGATTTCCATTTTTTTCAAACCTATCCTATAAACGTGACTCCCGAACGAAACTCGCCAGTCCTTCATGTTGTTTAGCATTTGCCCACCGGTTACCGACTAGCTCGCCCATGGTACCAGCTATGCCAATTTTCTAAGTTCGTGAGCAACCTGGCGTGTCTCTGTAAAAGCGGAGACGGTCATTAATCTATCTCATACACACTAATCACGTGATAAAAAATCATGTCTGGGCCATATCCGGGTAGTTTAATGCTCTTCCATTTGGGGAAAATACAGCTGCCTTGGGAGGGTGGGCGGGGAAGCTTAGTCCAAACCCGAAGGAACAAGCGAAAGATAATTCAGGCGTTGTAAGCGAAGTGCGCGTTATTGCAACGTGTTATTTGATTGTCAAACAGGTTCGCAGTCATGGCCAATAGCTGCAAAACGCTAACAAATACAACGCTAAACGGCGAGATAGCAATACAAACGTGTGTTCGTAATCCGAGGCGTAATCTTATACGGTGAATAAATCGCTATTATTTATACCATTTAACTATAGTTAAATATAACTTAATTCATCTCTTGCACAATAATCACGCGTGTTTGGGCCAGATCCCGGCAGCTTAAGGTGGCTCCCTGGAGTAAATTGGCCGTGCGCAGCCTGAGCACTAGCATGGCGCGAGCTTTAGAATCTGCAAGACGTCCACGCAAAAATTAAAACAAACATAGCCTCTCAGTTTCGAAATATCCGCCCCCCAAAAAACTTTATTAACTTATTGTTGAAGCTCATTGTGCAACAAAGTTTGATTTGTGTAGATCAAAGATTTATGAGAGCAGACAATGTTACACCGGTTACCTGTCAATATCGATCTCCATAAGAGTAAATTGTATGTAAAAACAAGGCAGAAATTTTCCAAAGACATCAATTCTTTCGCTTCAAAAGCAGACAAACGTTAAATAGTCGAAGTAAATGGTGAGTGAAAACTTTACTAAGAAAACAAAGAAGTAAGTACACTAACGAAGGAAGCAATGTTGCTGTTTCTGGCCTTTGGTTCACGGTCAGTGGAAAGATCTGAAAGGTCGAGCCAATTCCCAAACAAACACTGAAAATTGTCTTCGCTGGCGGAGCTCCTCGGTCACTTTATTCCTCTTACATTTGATTTGATTTAAGTAAATCTAAAGTGGCTTTTTTCAAGAAGTGGTGATTTTTTTTTTGTTTTGCCGACTGTATCATATTGTTTAAAAAACTTATCAGAAGAAAGGTTTCCCACTTAACTTGCATCCTAAGCGAAGGAACCTTTCCATCGACGAACCAACATCCTTGTATTTTTTCTTGTTTCAAACGTCCTTCAATGCACATGCAAGATGCACCAGAAAATGTTTTTGCACAACGAGAAATAATTTTTACTCACAGATTGACCCTTGACGAAAGCAATAGTTATCCGTCGAGACCTACGGTCCTGCACGTGTACCTGAGTAGATTATGTATGATTTATAGATCGGCGCTATCTTTTACAAAAGACTTTTAAAGAAAAACTTCGCCGTCGAAATTATCCCTCAAGAAGAACAAGGTTGTAAAAGTATCAGGAAGTGGCCTGACATTTGAAGATCTGCAAATAGTGTACAGCAGATTAGGAAATGAAGGGCTTATTGCGATCCTTACACAACCACCGTCTTCATCTCCGAAGATCGCCATCCTCACGAGTGACCACCACGGTTCGAATTTTAGCCACAATAGTCAAGTACTTCGAAGAAAACATCCTTTGTTAGGTATCAACTGGCGAGATATCACCGTAATAATACTAATAACGGCTTCAAAACAATGGCTTTCGTACTTTTCAAAGAAACCACATGTTTTCAGTAGCTTTGTGCATTTTGCGCATGCGGGCGTTATGGCTCGCGCGCGCATTTTGCTCATACGACCCCGAACCACGCGTGTTTTTCGGATTTTTGTGACGTCAACGTAGTTAATTAACCGTGAATCTCTCGTGTTACCTTAGGTAATTTTTTTTTAAAAATCGCCTCATTTCTTAACAGTTGCAGTACCTTTGTACTGTCCCTTTTTGTTAAAATCTCTAAGAGCTAAATTCTTCCATTAAGAAAAATTACAAATTTCAAAATATTGGCATACCGTCTTAACGACCCCATGTCTTTTCCACTTTAAACTGTTAAGCAATATGGTTAATATAAAGTGACAAAGTTTAAAGAAATTTCACCGCGGGAAATAAGAAATATTAAGAAAAAAATGATCAAAAATGACAAAATTACTGCCTGTCTAAGGATGCGATGTTGCCATGGCAACAGCCTTAATCTAGAAAATAAAAGTTGACAAAGGAGCCTTCTTATATGGGTAACCTTAGCGGTGAATCTCGCGAACAAAATCGCAAAGGCAAAGTAACTAGATTTCGTTCTGTAACGTATGCTAGATAGCTAGGGTTATTAGTAAATACTCTAGGGAGCCACCTTAATGCTCTTCCATCTGGGAAAAATACAGCTGCACAAAGTCCAGCCCAAATGGAAAGTTAATTAGTGATCTGCAGCAGGTTCATTGAACTTGTAAGGAGTGGCGTACTGAAACTTCATAGTGTGCGTTTGTGCAAAGATCTATTTTTAAACTTACGCGTGATTTCATGTGTCAATCAAATCGTACTTTTAAATGGTTTCCTCTCTGATTTTGTTGAGATCACTTCGTGTGTATATACTAAAACAATTATTCTTTTCAATCTGGGTGAATAGTGGCTTTGGAAATAGCCACTATTCACCTCGATTTCAAAGAATAATTGTTAATTGTTCCATCGGCTTAGGAGTTTGATATCACAGTCGGTTAAGCCAGCGAGGGAGGCGGACGTTGCTTCTCCGATTCGAAAACTATGACCACTGTAGTGGGAGGGTTCAATACCGACTAAGCGTAGTAAGTGAGAGATGAAAGAGATGTCGCAGCATTTGATCTTGTATACTGCTCCCTGTCTGTCCTCCGGTTTGTCTTTGTCCTTGACATTAGTAAGCAGTCGCAGTAAAGTGGTTATCGGTTTGTGTGCAACACGTATATTGTAAGGTTGTAATATACGTGCAATAGTTTCGGAGGTGCCTCTGATGTACGGTATATTCGCTGTCATAACAGGGCCAGAGTTGGTCTGAGTGTTGGAATCAGTGTTACTGTGAGTGTTCCGTCTAACAAAGTCCGTGTTGTAATTGTTCTTACTAAAAACGTTGCTACGGTAATCAGTCTCGTCTTGTAGGCTGTCAGGTGACTCGCAAACTAGTTGCGCTCGTCTCGTCAGAGTCCGGATAGTAGTAGCCTTGTGAGAGGTCGGGTTGTACGAAGACTGGTCTAGTAGTCGGTCGGTATGTGTCGGTTTTCTGTAAATAGTCGTTTTTAGTTTGTTGTTGTCGCGAGTGACCAAGCAGTCTAAAAAAGGTATCTTACCATTTTCTTCGATCTCCTTGGTGAACTGTATGTGCGCGTTCTGTCTGTTAAGGTGTTCGTGAAAATCGTCGATTCCGTCTTTGTCTACGGCGGTGAATGTGTCGTCAACGCAACGTAACCAAAGAGGTACAGTTCGCGTGTAGGTATCTAGGGCTTGTTCCCCGAACGTTTTGCATGACTATTTCTGCTACAACAGCAGAAACTGGAGAGCCCATAGCTGTACCGTGAAACTGTTTGTAGTGTTTGCCGTTGTACTGAAAGTAAGTGACGTAACGTGATACAACTCACTTTGACTCTGAAGATGACTACCGCACAGGGTGTCGAAACGTCAGTCACTGTCAACAACAGTCCTATTCAGGACTAAGTTTACCCGGACGATCAAACGCAACCTACTTTTGATAATGAGAATTTTAAAAACATATTTGCCCAGAGCTTTTTTCCTTAGAAAATGGGATTAAGGCGGAAAGGAAACAAGAATCGAGCGGCCGACGCCAGGGCCTTTTCCCGCCCCTCTCATTTTCTCAAGGAAATTCCTGGGAACGAGGTTCATATTTGCGTCAATAGTGGACTTTAGCATTAACAACGTAGATGGCAGCGAAATCGTCATTTTTAAAATGAATTCTCATTTTTTCAAACTGTTTCGCGTTTATTTCAAATGTTGGCGAATTTCCCTGAAGTTGATTTCTTGCGAAACACACTCAAGTTTAGAAAGAGAAAGAAAAATTCTTCGTCGCTTGTTTACGTCCTCAATAAACCGTGAAATTAGGCATTTTCAAGTTGTAGTCGTGCAGGTACCACAAAGAAATGTACAAAAATTAAAGCGTGAGGCACGTGCAAAATTGTTGTTTTTCTTGATAAACCTTTTTCTTTTTTGACGTTCTCTTAGCCGTCGCCGTTGCCGTCGCTGTCGCCGTCGTCGTCGCTAAAGCTCCCTAATGCTTGTGTGGGACCGGAATAGTTGACATTGCAAGTAATATGTTTTCTTCCTGTTCTAGTTAACCTGGCAATTAAAATACCAGAACCTATTCCATCTCTTTTCGTTGGTGAAAAGAAAAGTTTTTACTGCTTAGTTGAAGGACGGCTCCCACTAACAGTCAGGTGGCTGAAGAACAACACGATTATCAACGAGACAAAAAGTCAAAGAGACAGTCAAGTAAACCTNCTGACATTTGAAGATCTGCAAATAGTGTACAGCAGATTAGGAAATGAAGGGCTTATTGCGATCCTTACACAACCACCGTCTTCATCTCCGAAGATCGCCATCCTCACGAGTGACCACCACGGTTCGAATTTTAGCCACAATAGTCAAGTACTTCGAAGAAAACATCCTTTGTTAGGTATCAACTGGCGAGATATCACCGTAATAATACTAATAACGGCTTCAAAACAATGGCTTTCGTACTTTTCAAAGAAACCACATGTTTTCAGTAGCTTTGTGCATTTTGCGCATGCGGGCGTTATGGCTCGCGCGCGCATTTTGCTCATACGACCCCGAACCACGCGTGTTTTTCGGATTTTTGTGACGTCAACGTAGTTAATTAACCGTGAATCTCTCGTGTTACCTTAGGTAATTTTTTTTTAAAAATCGCCTCATTTCTTAACAGTTGCAGTACCTTTGTACTGTCCCTTTTTGTTAAAATCTCTAAGAGCTAAATTCTTCCATTAAGAAAAATTACAAATTTCAAAATATTGGCATACCGTCTTAACGACCCCATGTCTTTTCCACTTTAAACTGTTAAGCAATATGGTTAATATAAAGTGACAAAGTTTAAAGAAATTTCACCGCGGGAAATAAGAAATATTAAGAAAAAAATGATCAAAAATGACAAAATTACTGCCTGTCTAAGGATGCGATGTTGCCATGGCAACAGCCTTAATCTAGAAAATAAAAGTTGACAAAGGAGCCTTCTTATATGGGTAACCTTAGCGGTGAATCTCGCGAACAAAATCGCAAAGGCAAAGTAACTAGATTTCGTTCTGTAACGTATGCTAGATAGCTAGGGTTATTAGTAAATACTCTAGGGAGCCACCTTAATGCTCTTCCATCTGGGAAAAATACAGCTGTACAAAGTCCAGCCCAAATGGAAAGTTAATTAGTGATCTGCAGCAGGTTCATTGAACTTGTAAGGAGTGGCGTACTGAAACTTCATAGTGTGCGTTTGTGCAATCTTGCGGGGTATATCGAGGAACAACTGAAGGAAGAACGAGTGTAGCGTTGATAAAAGTCATTAGTATATACACACTCAGTGATCTTGGTGATTAAGCAATCTGATTGGTTCGCTATCTCGGACTATTCAACAATATTCACCTCCTAGCGGGTGGATAATGTGTGAGCTCGGTGTTTTTCCCATTTTTTTAGAGAACGATCTTTTAAAAGTCAACAAAATCCTAGGGCTGACTTTTTTTAAGGCAAGAAAAGACTTGGAAGGATTCAATACGGCGTTTTTCAATTTACTGTAGCTGAGTTTTGTGCTCGATGGATCGTTTACAACTCCCGTGTATTCGCGTAGAAGAAGCCGTTTCGTGAACTCAGCGTTTTCTAACAAGGAAATTTTGGCTCAAAAATCGACGTTTATTTATGACAAACACATTTAAAAGGAAATGTTTGCAGAAATTCTACGTTTCAAGTAAACAGAAAAAAGAATAATATAGGAAGACGACGTCTTACTTGGAGCAACCGAGCCACCATTTTTGTCAGCACTTCATGCGAAGAACGACACAACAAACCCTTTTGGCTATAAACTTGGCGAGTCAACAGAAAACAACAAAGCTCTTCTTTTCTTCTCAGGTAAGAAAACAGTTCAAACTTTTAGCAGTTCCATTTTAGCCATTACGCTGTTGTTTGCGAAATGATAAACTTGTGAATTGCCATGTTTGAAACTTCTGCAAAGATCTATTTTTAAACTTACGCGTGATTTGATGTGTCAATCAAATCGTACTTTTAAATGGTTTCCTCTCTGATTTTGTTGAGATCACTTCGTGTGTATATACTAAAACAATTATTCTTTTCAATCTGGGTAAATAGTGGCTTTGGGAATAGCCACTATTCACCTCGATTTCAAAGAATAATTGTTAATTGTTCCATCGGCCTAGGAGTTTGATATCACAGTCGGTTAAGCCAGCGAGGGAGGCGGACGTTGCTTCTCCGATTCGAAAACTATGACCACTGTAGTGGGAGGGTTCAATACCGACTAAGCGTAGTAAGTGAGAGATGAAAGAGACAAGGGATATTTTGCTGACGGGGCATTGGTCGGAAAGGTGAAACAAGAGTGTAGTAGCCTTGTCGACGATACCACGGCGATGGTGAAGAGCGAGGTTCTTTTTCATAGCGCAACCAGCACAGACGGAGCGTCGAGAATGAGCAGTATAAAGGGTCAAACCCTGTCGTCGCTGATACGTTTAAGATTTTATAAGTCGGAGGGAGAGATACTCCGTGCCAGAAGAGAAGAATGTAAACGTGCGTCAGAGCAGGTGAGGTGAATAGACGGATCGAAAAGATCGCGAGAAAGAACTGTAAATTCGCCCTCGCGGAGCATAAGAAAATGATCAGCGCTGATGGTGGCCCATCGCACCGTGTCATCGTCACACGTGGGGATGACAAAAGCCTGAATATCGGAGAGAATGTCGAATGTAAGCGGCATCTTTTGCTTCGGTGCTAAAAAATGTTTGCGTTTGATACCACGCAAAGTCTGTTTTAATAGCAATCCAGGTTGAAGTGGATTAGACAGACCGCGTGATATATGCAGAGAGCGCACGGCAGCGAGATAAACGTTCATTGGTTGTGGTTTGATCCTTTGGGTGAGATGAGTAGCAAATGAGGTAATGGTTTCTTCGGACGCTGGCAAGGGGACCAAGGAAAAATTCTGGCTAAACTGGAGAAATCGGCGCTAAGCACTTTTGTATGTACAATGAGAGGCGTTCGCGAGTCCTCCAACGAAGTAGTTAGGCGTGTTCACTTAAAGCTGGCCAAGGGTAGAGGTCTTGCAGGCGTTCGATAACTGAAAGCCACGGGACAGGGGGCCAGGAACTTGTCGATCTGAAAACTAGAAAGAGCGTCAGGCTAATGATTATCAAAGCCGTCAATGTGGATGGCCACAATATAATATGGGTAATAATATGCGTGTATTTTCTAGTACCACTAGACAAAATATGTACTATGGATAAGTTATCACAATGGAACAGAATTTTGCCACAAGCAAGGGATGCTGCCCAAGTGTTGACCGCAGCGGCAATGGCGAAGAGGTCCTTGAAAGTAATTGGACGGGAGAGTGGGACGTCTTGTCCGCGAAGGACCCGTAGAGCCAGTCGCCCGCGTAAGAGGCACCGAAGCCAGACTGGCATGAGTCGGTGTGAAGATCCAAGAGTGAGGAAGTTCTCTATTTGTCGTCATAGAAAAACTACGACCATTCCAGGATGGGAGGAAAACTCTCCATCACAAGGGGTCCTTGTAGAAGACGTGATTCAATCGAAGGTGATGGATCAGGTGGTGAGCTCTGCAGAGGACATTCAACATTCGGCGTAGGGACGTTCTCCCGGGGCGGCACGCAGTGTAAATAGAGTGAAGTCCCCTGACAAGACCTGCAAACATGGGCGCTTTTGCGTTTCTCTGAAAGAGGTTGCATCCTTCTTGGTTGGAGGGGGCGTACAATTTTGGGTACTTCCACGGGGAATTTTTTTCCATTTTCATTTTCCTTCCATCTGTTCTGGTGCGGGAAATCCACAGTACTTCACCATATGGTCAAAGGACTTGCATCGTGAGCATTGGCCGGGGTTAAGGCGTAGTGCCGAGGCATCTAGGAAGGTCGCGTATTAAGTGGTATCAAGGTCGTCCAGGCATGCGTATTCTGGGTACCAGAGGTTTTTCTCCCGTGCGGTGGGAATTTTCGGTGTTGACCGAAGGCTGACACATCTTCGGCCGTAGGCCGAAGCCACGAACAAAACCGGAAACCGCGCCAGAAAAGTCTCTGGCACCCAGGGTAAGGCGTGAACAATCTTCATGGCATATGCCATCCTGGCTTGAATGTCAAACAGGTAAACAGGGTACCA